AGTATGTATAAAAATATTTTTTTTTACCTTTTTATTTTTTGATACACTTTTTTCATTTTTACAATTTTGTTTTACATATTGTGACCAGAGCAGTACAGTGTTACCAGAGTGACACTGAACTACCCTGAGGAGGTGATCAGGATTTTTTTCACACTATGCAGAGCACTGTTATAAGCAACTTTTTTTTTTAATTAATGCACCCATTTATCTAATGTGTACTGTTGTGGTTAGCTGTGATTGGCCACAGCTAATCATATGGTACAGATGGGATGTGATTGACCCTGTCTGTACCATGAGATCATTGTGCCCAGTCACAAACAATAGTACACATGACTGGATATGAATGGAAGCCATTTATTGTGTACAATTGCCATGTGATCTGTTGTGACTGGTCACAGCAATCACATGGTACCAGCAGCAGCCTGGTACACTGGTCTGTTATTCGCTGTGTCTGGTGGACATCAGGTGACACTGTGGGGTGTATGAGGTACAATTGTGGGAGGTATCTGTTTGACCTGCTGAAAAATCTGTTTTTATGTTCATGCATAACTAAGTTTTGTTCAGTCCTGTCACATAGTAAAGTCATTTCTAGCAGGACAGACAGTCTGATTTTTCTCTGCTGCAGTTAATTAACACTTACAGGTCTTGTCATTTTCCCAGCCTACCCATCTATTCTAATATCATATAAGTATGTTCCTTGTTAGTACATGAATACTGCAGTACAGCTCACTGTCCCCTGTGCTGCTTCTCTCTCTTTTCCAATCTGAGCTCTGCTGTAGAAGGAGTTGTAAGAGACTGAGTACTAGTCAAATTCAGGTATTGAATAATATTGCTAATTAATACAGAGCTGAATTATTGTGTGTCCTTTACATCTGCCTGGAGTTTAACTTTAAATAAGGGAAATGTGGTTGTGCAGCAGCTAGCAGTAAATAAGAGAAATACCCTTTACAACGTTAACAAATTATTGATGGCAAATGTGTGGTGAATGAACAGAGAATCCATTGATTTCTGGCTCTTATTATTGCTGTTTTTCTAACTATGGGGGGGATTTACTAAAACTGGTGCACACAGAATCTAGTAAATCTGTGCATGGTAACCAATCAGCTTCTAATTTCATCTTGTTCAATTAAGCTTTGCCAAAAAAAAATTAGAAGGTGATTGGTTACTATGCATAGCTGCACCAGAATCTGTGTGCACAAATTTTAGCAAATCTACCCTTCTATGTGGAAACAAAGTGATCACACTGGTTTCTTCAACATGAGCAATGGGGCAGTAATAGTTCCATCTGTTGCAGGGCACTTCAAACTGAACTCCAGGGTCACCTTCCGTTTTGCACAGTTGTACATACTCCTCTTATGTACTGAAATCACTTAAAGCGGAGTTCCATCCATTTTTAATACTTTAACTTTTAATATAGTCCCTGTGAAATAAAGCACAAGTTTGATTTTTTTTTTTTTATTATACATACCTTCTAATCCACTGCAACCCTACAGTTCTGGTCCCGACCTCCTACGCGATGATGTCGTAAGGTGATTTGCAAGGTCTCCTGGGATGTTGTTTTCTGAATCCCAGGAGTCCTTTCGTTTCCTGTAATCGCGGGACTTGGAAACCGGAAATGACGTGGATGGGAGGTGTTTCAACCATTGTTATGGCAACCTGTACTGCATACATTGCGGTGAGCAGTGTCTGTACTGCGCATGCGTGAGAACGAGTGGTGCATGCTGGGATAGCCAGCAGCACGATTCCAGGAAATAAATATCTTTGGGCTTCAAATGCCCACAGCCATCATGGAGCCTGCCTGCTTCTGAGATCCTAGTAAATGTTTACGATTTTCTAAGTAATTGCAATGCTTTTAATATTGAATTATTTCAATTGTTAATGCTATTTGTAAGGTCATCGTGGATCTGCTTTTAACAAAAATTTTGTAGGAGGACTGGAGTTCCGCTTTAATCTGATTTCACTGCACACTGTGCTTCTCATAGTGTTCATTAGAAGCTGCAGCAAGTCAGATAAAGCCTCATCTGGCTCTTCCTATCCAGATCCTGGCTCACCCATTTTATTCCTTGGATTTCTATTCTTTTAAACATAAAAGAATCGGCATCATGTGGGGGTTGAAAAAAAATATGTGTACTGTCAATCCTGTGCCTACAATGTGTAAATACCAATGTGTAAACCAGTACGTTGTGATAAAAATGATAAATCAATACATATTTCAATCAAACTGAATGAAAAATAAATATAATAGATGCACTATGATGGCTGCAAGCAAAAAATTGTATTCCCACAACCCATGCAAGAAATAATAAAGCAATGCTGCTCCAACCTTACTAACACATGATCACTTTAATACATGCTCTCTGTGTATATCTATATGTATATCAAACCAAATTTATCATAAAAACATTCCATAACAATACCATGAATAATAAAATAACAAATCCATATGCAAGGAAACAGTATTATTATAGGTGTCAAAATCCAAAAATAATTCAAACTTTTCACTTGTAACTTTGTTAAATGTCCCCTTATGGTATCCTCAGTCTCTTAAAGAGCAAAAAAAACATATAGTTCTTACTTCTTCTAGTATTTCACCTCTTGTGTTCTATTAAAATCATTCATAGTGATTCCCACCACCGTTCATCTATGCACTCACCTCAAGTGGTGGACCTGCCAACCATCATGTCATAAAATGCTTTCCCCCTTTATGGTTCTTTTATGGCTCCTCTCGGTTACAGCTTTTTTTGAATTGCCTCTTCCTGTTTTCACTGAGGATGGGTTTTTTTTTGCTTTTAAGAGACTGAGAATACCATAAGGGGACATTTAACACAGTAATGGGTACAAAGTTTGCGTAGTGATATTTGGGTTTTGACACTTATAATTATACTATTTACTTGCATATTGATTTGTTATTTATGTGGCAAATGAGGTTTAATGTTGATAAATGTAAGGTTATGTACTTGGGGGCTAAGAATATGCATGCATCATACATACTGGGGGGGGGTACAACTGGGGGAATCAATGGTGGAGAAGGATCTGGGAGTTCTGGTAGATCACAAGCTTAATAATGGCATGCAATGACAAGCTGCAGTTTCTAAAGCGAGCAAAATCCTCTCTTGTATTAAAAAAGGTATAGACTCCAGAGAGAGAGAAATCATATTACCCCTGTACAAATCATTAGTAAGACCTCATCTAGAATATGCAGTTCAGTTTTGGGCACCAATTCACAAAACAAACATTGGGGAACTGGAGAAAATACAGAGAAGGGCAACCAAACAGATAAGAGGCATGGAGGAGATAAGCTATGAGGAAAGATTAGAGGAGCTGAATTTATTCTCTCTCTGAGAAGAGGAGATTAAGGGGGGATATGATCAACATGTATAAATACATCAGTGGTTCATATAGTGAACTCGGTGTAGAGTTATTCACCCTGAGGTCATCACAGAGGACAAGGGGGCACTCTTTACGTCTGGAGGAAAAGAAATTTAACCTGGAATAGACTCCCTCAGGAGTTGGTCCTGGCCAGCTTAATGGATTGCTTCAAAAAAGGCTTGGATTCTTTCTCAGATACACAGAATATAACTGGATACTAACATGTATAGGTAAAGTTGATCCAGGGAATATCCGATTGCCTCTCAGGGGATCAGGAAGGAATTTTTTTTCTAGCAGGAGCAAATTGGACCGTGCTTTGCTATTTTTTTTTTTTGCCTTCCTCTGGATCAACTGTGGGTATAGGATTATAACTTTTTTTTTTTTTTATGGTGAACTGGATGGACTTTTGTCTTTTTTCAGCCAGACTAACTATGTAAACTATGTGATTTTATTATTAATGGTATTGTTTTGTAATGGTTTATATGCTAAATTTGGTTTGACATACATATATATACAGTACTAACAGGAAGCATTCATTAAGCTATCATCTGTTAGTAAGGTTTGCGCAGAATTGCTTTATCATGTGGGTGTTATCTAGGACAATCTGCATGCAACTGCAGCCTACCTAGAAAAATCCAGTCCTCAGACTGACATCCACCCATGAAGGCATTTTGATATTATCATAATTAGAGATGAGCGAATTATTCAAAAATTCGGTTCGGCTGATTCGCCGAATTCGCCGATTAAATTCGCTTCGTGCCGAATATATTCGCTGCGAATTTAACTTATAAAAAGGGTGTTTCTAGGCTTCAGAGAGCCTTTATATAGTGCAGAACACTGTACCTTTAATTTAAATGCCCTTGGAGTCTGCTGGGGAAGAGAAATAATACTGTCAGTCAGTATGACATGCAGATGAGTGCCGTCGATCTTAGAATCACCGCACACTTCACTCATTTGGGCAGTCACGGGGCCAAAAAACCAGAGTGTGGAGCCACAGTGTGGCGGTGGAGGCAGCAGCAATGGGAGGCCATACAGCACCCTATGACAAAATGGAACCCACCAGCAGTGTGAGGAGACCTGAAAGTGGCACATGGCAGAGTGTGGCGATGGAGACAGCAGCACACTCTGGACCTGGCAGCAGCATGAGGAGGCGGTACAGGGGCCCATGACAGATTACGGGCCTGGCAGCAGCATGAGGAGTCGGTACAGGGGCCCATGGCAGATTACGGGCCTGGCAGCAGCATGAGGAGGCGGTACAGGGGGCCCATGGCAGAGTGGCGGAGCGTAAGCAGCTAAAATTGAAGGCCATACAGAGGCCTATGTTAAAAAGTCCCCCCAGCAGCAGCGTGGGGAGACGACTATCAAGAGTCCAATGGCAGAGTGGCGGAGCAGAAGCAGCTTCAATTGAAGGCCATACACAGGCCTAGGTTAAAAAGCGGAAGCCGTCAGCAGCGTGAGCAGACAACAGAGACACATGGCGCAGGGTGGCGGTGGATGCAGCAGTATTCGGAAGCCAAACACAGGCCTCGGTTTAAAAAGCGGAAGCCGTCAGCAGCGTGAGCAGACGACAGAGGCACATGGCGCAGGGTGGCGGTGGAGGCAGCAGCAATGGAAGGCCATACAGCACCCTATCACAAAATGGAACCCACCAACAGTGTAAGGAGACCTGAAAGTGGCACATGGCGCAGGGTGGCGGTGGAGGCAGCAGTATTCGGAAGCCATACACAGGCCTAGGTTAAAAAGCGGAAGCCGTCAGCAGCGTGAGCAGACGACAGAGGCACATGGCGCAGGGTGGCGGTGGAGGCAGCAGTATTCGGAAGCCATACACAGGCCTAGGTTAAATAGCGGAAGCCGTCAGCAGCGTGAGCAGACGACAGAGGCACATGGCGCAGGGTGGCGGTGGAGGCAGCAGTATTCGAAGCCATACACAGGCCTAGGTTTAAAACTGGAACCCAGCAGCGTGAGCAGACGACAAAGACGCACATGGCAGAGGATGGATCTGGCAGCAGTATGAGAAGGCGGTACAGGGGCCCGTGGCACAGTGTGGTGATGGGGGGGACTACAGCAACTGGATGCCAGAAAGTGGCCGATAGGGCTATATACTGCATGACTACATAGGTGTTTTTTATAGTACTTTATTTTGGCCTCCCTCTCAGCAGGTGTGAAAAAGGCCACCATTTTTGAACGGTAGCGAGGGTCCAACAAGGTGGACAGCCAAAAGTCATCCCTCTGTCTGATGGTTATTATTCGGCTGTCGCTACGCAAGCAACCGAGCATGCTATGGGCCATTTGTGCCAAGGAATGCGAGGGACTCCCTGCCTCCATCTCCACAGCATACTGCCACGGTGCGTCTGGGTCCTCTGTCTCCTCCTCCTCCTCTACCAGATGCTCCTGCTCCTCCACTCCTGTCCGCTGAGTGGAAAAAACCACCCATTTCACTCAATAATTCCTGAGCACCAATGTCCTCCTCTACCTCCTCCTCTTCTTCCTGTCCTGCCCCCACAGGGGTCATGTGGCGTTGAGATCTGTGCGCCACGTCTACCGCACCCCTGACCAGCCATTGTTAACAGCATTTGTTCCAGGACATGCAACAGAGGAATGACGTCGTTCATCCCATAGTCCTGCCGACTCACAAATAGCGTGGCCTCCTCAAAGGGCCTGAGCAAGCGGCAGGTGTCACGCATGAGCTGCCAATGGCTGACATCTAAGTTTAACAGGGGAGTACCTTTATCCGCTTGTAACATCAGGAAATCGGTGATGGCCTTTCGCTGTTCGTAAAGGCGGTCTAACATATGTAGGGTTGAATTCCACCTTGTTGCAACGTCGCAGATCAGGCGATGCTGTGGAATTCCGTTCTGCCGCTGCAGCTCAAAGAGGGTGTGCTTTGCAGGTGTAGGAATGGCTGAAATGCATGCAAAGTTTACGTGACATTTTAAGGATGTCTTGCAGTGGGATGGTGGATTTTAGGAACCGCTTGACAACCAGATTGAACACGTGAGCCATGCATGGCGCATGGCACAACCTTCCTTGACGCAGAGCAGACACCATGTTCTTTCCGTTGTCGGTCAACATGGTTCCGATTTTCAGTTTGCGCGGAGACAGCCATCTGTCGATTTCTCTGTTCATTACACTCAGAAGTTCCTCCCCTGTGTGACTACGTTCGCCAAGGCATACCAGGTGCAGCACAGCGTGACACCGTTGCGCCCTGCACATGTGATATGCCGGTCGGGTAATGGGACTTGGCACGGGGGAGGTGGCGGCTGAGGACACGGCGGAAGAAGAGGTGGTAGAGGCGGACATCTTTGCTGGGCCAAGGACGTGCAAACGTGGAGGCAAAAGCGGCGTGACCTGTCCAAGTTGCTGGTGCGGCTGTGCCGGCACCACGTTCACCCAGTGGGCCGTAAATTACATGTACTGTCCCTGACCGTAGTTACAGCTCCACACGTCGGCGCTGCCGTGCACTTTGGCAGAGACCGACATGCTCAAAGACTGGCCCACCATCTCTTCTACATGTGAATGCAGGGCTGGCACTGCCTTTTTGGCGAAGAGAAATGCCGGCTTGGCACTCTCCACCGTGGCTCGGCACAAGCCATCATTTCTCGGAAAGGTGCTGAGTCCACCACTTGGAAAGGGAGGGACTGCAGCACCAGCAACTTGGACAGGAGGACGTTCAGCTTTCTGCACCGTCGGGTGCGTGCTCGCAAACTGTTGTCTCTTGGAAACGGATTCCAAGAAAGACTGCTGACGGAATCCGTGAAGAGGAGTAGCAGGAGAAGGAGCATCTGAACGAGCGGAAGATGCCAACGAGCGACAACTCCCCTCAGCAGAGGTGTTGGAGCCTTGACTGGCTGATAGAGGGCGATTGACGTCGGGTGACGGAGCAAGTAACGGAGCAGGTGATGGAGCGGGGGCTGGGGCAGGCAGAACCGCCGTATCTTTATCACGGTTTTCCCAGGCCACCGAATGGCGACGCTGCATATGCTGACGCAACGCTGTAGTCCCAACATTGGCCCCCTGGCCACGCTTGACTTTCTGGCCACATAGTCGACATGCGGCTACGTTTACTTCCTCGGGCGGTGTGACGAAAAATTGCCACTCCGCCGAGTAGGAAACTTTGCCCCCGCTTCTCCTCATTGGCTGACTGCTACTTCCTCCGTGCACACCGGCACCACTACTGGCCGTGGTGGTAGGCTGCAGTGGAGCTGGTGCTCTACTCCGTGGCCGTTTGGCTCCACTGACACTGCTGCGACCCTGCTGCCTCCTGGGCAACCCACCGACTGTTTCGCTCGCTGGCAAGCTGGCACCCTCTTCTCCTGATGATGCGGAAGCAATAGCCTGATGACGACGAGGCTGCCAAGTGCAATCAGCCTCATCATCATCAATTAGGGTCTCCGCCTCACTACTAGCCCCCTCGGCTGCGTGTGGGTCAGGAGACAGACCTGTCTCTAGACCGGCTACCGAGCCCACTCTCCTCGCCAGTACTTCTTCGCCTGGCTGCTGAAGAGGCAGATGTCTCCCCCCGTTCCTGACCGCCCTCTGTTAGCTCTTCCTCACTGTACAGTGGGGCTGAGCCCACAGCATGCGATACTTCACTTGGTGAGGGAACACCAAAGGACAGGGGCAGGTCGAGGACACGTGATTTCAGTGGGCTTGCTCCCGGGCCTTGCCAACTAATGGTTGTGTCTGACGTACCCACCGACCATTGGCTGTAGGTGTCAGAGGTGACCTGGGAAGAGGAAGACGACCGAGTCAACCAATCGATGACGGCAGGGTTGTCGGTGGAGACACGACCGCTGGATGACACCGGGAGCACTGGCCTCTGGCTGCGACTAGTGCTGCCTCGACCCCTTCCTCTGCTGCCACGTCTGCTCGCTCCTGAAACATTGCCTCCTCTGCCACTCCTCTGCGTGTTGTCTGACATACTCTTTAATTCAATAAGCACCCCAAAAATAAAACCGGATTTAACTCTTTGAACGTACAATAGTGTTGTAAAGCAGAAAGTCAGTTTATTTAGCACAATCGGTCAATTGCAGCTTGCCGTTGGCTGGAAACTGTACGTTTATGTCACTGGAATGCACTAATCACCCAAAAAATATTACCGCCACCCGGCGTGTAAATGGATCTAACTCTTTGAACGTACAATAGTAGTTGTGAAGCAGAAAGTCAGTTTATTTAGCACAATCGGTCAATTGCAGCTTGCCGTTGGCTGGAAACTGTACGTTTATGTCACTGGAATGCACTAATCACCCAAAAAATATTACCGCCAGCCGGCGTGTAAATGGATCTAACTCTTTGAACGTACAATAGTGGTTGTGAAGCAGAAAGTCAGTTTATTGTACACAATTGGTCAATTGCAGCTTGCCGTTGGCTGGAAACTGTACGTTTATGTCACTGGAATGCACTAATCACCCAAAAAATATTACCGCCACCCGGCGTGTAAATGGATCTAACTCTTTGAACGTACAATGGTGGTTGTGAAGCAGAAAGTCAGTTTATTGTACACAATCGGTCAATTGCAGCTTGCCGTTGGCTGGAAACTGTACGTTTATGTCACTGGAATGCACTAAGCACCCAAAAAATATTACCGCCACCCGGCGTGTAAATGGATCTAACTCTTTGAACGTACAATAGTGGTTGTGAAGCAGAAAGTCAGTTTATTTAGCACAATCAGTCAATTGCAGCTTGCCGCTGGCTGTAAACTGTACGTTTATGTCACTGGAATGCACTAAGCACCCAAAAAAAATATTACTGCCACCCGGCGTGTAAATGGATCTAACTCTTTGAACGTACAATAGTGGTTGTGAAGCAGAAAGTCAGTTTATTTAGCACAATCGGTCAATTGCAGCTTGCCGTTGGCTGGAAACTGTACGTTTATGTCACTGGAATGCACTAATCACCCAAAAAATATTACCGACGCCACCCGGCGTGTATATGGATTTAACTCTTTGAACGTACAATAGTGGTTGTGAAGCAGAAAGTCAGTTTATTTAGCACAATCGGTCAATTGCAGCTTGCCGTTGGCTGGAAAACTGTACGTTTATGTCACTGGAATGCAATAATCACCCAAAAAATATTACCGCCACCCGGCGTGTAAATGGATCTAACTCTTTGAACGTACAATAGTGGTTGTGAAGCAGAAAGTCAGTTTATTGTACACAATCGGTCAATTGCAGCTTGCCATTGGCTGGAAACTGTACGTTTGTGTCACTGGAATGCACTAATCACCCAAAAAATATTACCGCCAGCCGGCGTGTAAATGGATTTAACTCTTTGAACGTACAATAGTGGTTGTGAAGCAGAAAGTCAGTTTATTTTTCACAATCGGCAAACTGCAGCACCAACTGTGCACGACAGCCATCAAAAAAAAAAAAGGGTGTATGTCACTTTAAATTTTCGATTCTTTGATAGCTGTGGCCCCTGAGTAACAATTCTGTGTCCCTGAGTAACGATTCTGTGTCCCTGAGTAACGATTCTGTGTCCCTGAGTAACGATTCTGTGTCCCTGAGTAACGATTCTGTGTCCCTGAGTAACGATTCTGTGGCCCTAAAGTCTCTGTGGCCCTAACTCTGTCCCTTAATACAGACAGGTCTGTCTCTCTTGAATGACCGGAGGCTAATGGAGAATTCTAAGATGGCCGCGATTTATAGCTCCACCATTACACAGTGCTGGCTGGCTGCTGATTGGCTAATGCGATCACATGTCATGATTCATGACTCATGAATGCATTATGGGTCAGCGCGCCTTGTCTGCGCGCCTTCCCAGAGATCCCCGCCCCATCTTCTCTGTCCATTTTCTCCTGTCGCCACACATGTCGCCACCATTTTTGGGAAAATTTGATTCGTGCATCCGAAGTTTGCTAATCTTCGGATTCGTCGCGAATCGAATTTTTCCAAATCTTCGGAACGAATTCTGTGTCCCTGAGTAACGATTCTGTGTCCCTGAGTAACGATTCTGTGGCCCTAAAGTCTCTGTGGCCCTAACTCTGTCCCTTAATACAGACAGGTCTGTCTCTCTTGAATGACCGGAGGCTAATGGAGAATTCTAAGATGGCCG